GTACGATAGGCCTGAACTGCTAGAGTAAGCCTACCCTCTTGCTGAGTAAATATCACGTTCTGTTGTTGAGGCATTGTCTTTCGTACGTGAAGTTCGCGATGCCAAGAAAAAGTGGCACTCTCGGTGGGGTGGCACTCTCGGTGGTGGAATACGTTATACTTATCCCATAGATCCTGTTTTTTTGCGCAACCCCGCCACCACCACCACCACCCCAGCCACACTCGAGCATATTGCACAGTACAGCCGCAGAAACACAATCTCTTCCCCTTCCCTCCCTATTCTCTCTTCCCTTCCCCTCTTTTTCTCCCTAATCTAATCTTTCCCCTCCCCCTCTCTAGACTCCACCAAGCAAACTCTCCAAGCCCCCCTGACTTACTATACTAAAACCCCATGCCAAGCGCAGCCCTCAAGAAATCCCAAGAAATCCCAAGATGAAAGGAATTTAAATGGTTAATATCATAGCTGTGGGAGGGGGGGGTTCCACCACCACCACCACGACCCCTTTTGACCACATTTTTTCATTGCCTTCCTTTAGCGCATTAAAAAAAAGAAGATTAAAAAACCGAGCGCCCCCACCGTAGCAACTTGGGCTATTTCATACTCACTGTTATTTACAGTGAATTAGAGGTGGTATTTAAAGCAAGAGCAATTTTTTTTCTGGGTATATATATATCTAGCTAGCTAATTGCCCATCTAACTATCTATCCATCTATCTACCAATTCCATACATACATACATACATACATACATATATATATATATATATATATGCACCCCCATCTCAGCCATGTACATGTAAATAGATAGATAACGTGGTTCATAAGCGAGTCGGTCACCCAAGCGAGTCGGTCACTCCCCACCAGCGCGTCGACGTTGATACTACAACGCGTTATGTCTCAACAACACAACTATCAATTAACTTATCCTGAATCAGATCTTCAACTTGCTCTTTTTGATATCCAATCACAACGTGTTCAAAGCCAAAGACGCGCTGCCTCTATCTATAACGTGCCTCAAAGTACAATATCTGATCGACAGGCTGGAAAGCGCCCCCGACGCGACTGTGAACCGAATTCAAAGCGCCTAAATAAGTTAGAAGAGGAGGCTATTATTAGACGTATTTTTGAAGAGTCTGCGCGTGGATTTGCCCCTACAAAGGCTGAGGTTCGAGCAATGGCCAATAAACTGTTAGAGGAGCGTGGTGGCAACCCTATTGGCAAGAATTGGGTTGACAACTTTGTTAGGCGGACTGCTGAGCTCCGTACGCGCTGGAGCCGTCCCTATGATCACCAGCGAGCCGCCTGCGAGGACCCAGTGGCTATCCAGCGCTGGTTTGACTTAGTCCAGGCGACAAGGCAGAAGTGGGGTATTGTGGACGACGATATCTACAACTTTGACGAAACTGGCTTTATAATGGGCAAGATTTTATCACAGTTATTAATCACAGCATTAGAAGGATATGGGAAAAAGAAGCGGATACAGCCAGGCAACCGTGAGTGGGTTACTGTGATCCAAGGCGTGGGCGCGTCGGGTCGCCAGATACCACTGTTCGTTGTCTTTGCGGGCAAGGTGCTTATCAACGTCTAGTTTGAGAATTTGCCTGCCAACTAGGTTCTTAAAGTCAGTCCCAATGGCTGGACGAATAATCAGCTTAGTCTTGCCTAGTTAGAGCACTTTAATACCCATACAAAGAGCTCTACTGTGGGTGGGTATCGACTACTTATTATTGACGGCCATGAGAGCCACTGCTCCATCGATTTTCAAGATCTTTGCAAGGAGAAGAATATTATTCTTCTCTGCATGCCTCCACACTCGTCTCACCTGTTGCAGCCCCTTGACGTCGCCTGCTTCTCGCCATTGAAGCGCAAGTATGGCGACGCTGTTTCAGGCTTGGCACGCAACCGCACCCACTATATCAGCAAGGAGACCTTCCTACCAGCCTTTAAGGCTGCTTTTGAGCAGTCTATTACAAAGGAGAATATCCAAGCTAGCTTCAGAGGCGCTGGTCTAGTCCCACATGACCCACAGGCTGTGCTATCTAAGCTTGATGTAGTGGTGCAGACGCCAGTACAATCACCACGACAGACAGCCGCCTGGCAGGCGCAGACACCACGCAACGCGCGCGAGGTTGAGGCTCAAAGTACTCTTATTCGACAGAGAGTAAGAAACCGCCCTAGGTCTTCTGCAAATTCTCTTGACGAGAAGGTTGTACAGCTAAGTAAAGGGGCTCAGCAAATAGCACATAAGATGACGCTTATGAGGGAGGAAGTAGCTGCTCTTCGAGAGGCTCTAGACACAGCAAATAAGCGTAAGAGCCGCAAGCGGCGATACGTACGCACAGAAGAGACTCTTACTGTAGGCGAAGTACAAGAAGTATTAGCTGAACAGGCGGGTAGCAGTCGTGGTGATGGTGAGAGTGCGTCGAAGAGGGTGCGAGGAGAGCGGCGGTGCGGGCGTTGCAAGCAGACTGGACACAACGCTCGTACCTGCGCAGTTGAGATAGATAGTGCAAGTGATAGTAGCGATTCTGACAATTAATCTGGTATATTGCAATAGTTTATTGACTGTAATAAAAGACTGTGATAACGTGTCAACGTCAACGCGCTGGTGGGGAGTGACCGACTCGCTTGGGTGACCGACTCGCTTATGAACCACGTTAGATAGATAAATTATCATTATTATTATTATTATTATATCTCGTAGCCCCACTCCACACTCTCCACTCTGCATAGCCCCTCCCCTCCCCCTATCTTTCTTCATTCCATCTTCCCTACATATTTCCCTCTCTTTTTTCCATCTCTCTCTCTTTTTTCTTTCTTTCTCCCCTCAATTTCAACTCCTACATCCCATGTATTCACCATGCATGCATGCATAAATCAGGACATGAAAAAAAATATGCATACTTACGGTGGGGGGGGGGAGGGGGTCTGCAAATGTGCATAGTGCTCGGATGTATGACTCCGAAAGTTTGTTTTTTTGTTGCTGTATATCGCATCCTAATCCATCCTAATCCATTATATTCCCTCCCATCCCATCCTATCCTATGCTAATACCTATTCCAATACATGACGTGGGATTACGCTGATGCTGATGCTGACAATGACGATCTTTTGCATGACTGCATTGCGTTGCACTGCACTGCGACACGAGTACCGAGGTCAGGTACAAGGGGACGCACGCACTGGCATTTTGGAAAAGTATCGGGAGATTGGAGAGGTGAGCTTGTTGGTATGTCACATCTTGGCACATCACAGCACGTTCTTGTCAGAGAGAGAGAGGGGGGGGGAAGAATGCAAGCATGTATATTTCTAAACCTTTATCGCGTGAAAAAATGGGGGTACAAGAAAGTAATTAGACAGGATAGAATCAGAAAAAAAAGGTAGGTAGATATACAGATTCAGAAAGAGAAGGAATAGATGAACGCAAATCACGACCAGGTTCAAAATATGGTTTCATTTCATTGACAATGCAATCAAGACAGCTAAAAAGCACCTCGTCCAGGCAGCGGGTCGTTCTTCGCAGGACACACTGCGTCGAAGATTTGGTGGTTGACAAAAGTAGGCTTGACATTATTGTTGTAAGCCAGCTCGACTAGAGTGGCGTTGCCTATGGAATGTCAGTATACAATCTCCTGCATCCAAGTCACTCGATTGACTTACCAGACATGTATCGAGGCCAGCCGTATTGGGTCAAGCCATTCTGCGAGTCTCGAGCAAATGCAGCCCATGCGCCTTGGATATAGGCCGTGTACTTGTCCTGTGCGTTGCTGTTGGGGAGACCCGAGATATCCTGAGCAGTACCAAAGACCAGACCAAGGTCCGAGCCATGATAAGCTGCGCTGCCTTTGGGTCCGAGACCTGCACTCCCATTGTAAAGACGAAGGTTGTCCCACTGACCAAAGTACCTGTATCGCCAGGTGGGGACGTTGTGTTGGACCCGGTAAGCAGCCGAGTAGGCGCTCGGGCAAGTGAAGCTCCGCTCAGTAAACAGGTTCCACTGGGCGTCGGTGAAATTGAGCTTGGTTGCCCATCCGGAAATGCGGTACCAGCCGTCCTCGTGGTCGTTGTTGCCGAGCAAGAGTGGAATCTTGGCAAATGATCCGGCCTCGGACAGCTGCTCGTAATCCGCAAATACAGTCGTGTTATCGACTGTTGGATGGAACGTCGCCTGCTTCAAGCCAACACTGGGAAGGGTGGGAACCTTTGCCGAGGCTGCCAGAACAGCGGACATGTCCGCTGAGCGCACACAAGACACGACTGCAGCAGCGTCGTCATTGGGACCACCACAGCCAATGGCCTGGGAGACGTTGTACCAGATGGACTGCGCGTACTCGACCGTGTTTGGGATAAAACTCAGGGATGTTCCAGACATGGGAATGAGACCAGAAACAATGGGGTCCTTCTTCCACGCGTACGCCCAGTAGTCGACCGAAGCACCACCCGCGCTCTGTCCAAAGATGACGATACGCGAGGGGTCACCGCCAAACGCCGCAATGTTGTCACGCACCCACTCTACAGCAGCGCGCTGGTCAAGCAGGGCTGCGTTCTTCTCCACGCCAGGGGCACCAGCAAAGCCAAAAATACCTAGGCGGTAGCTGAAAGGGTTAGTACATGGATGGATGTGAAGATGATTGGTCTTACTTCAGCGTCACTACCACAACATCCTCAGCATCAGCAAGGTACTGGCCGTTGTAGAAGGGACTATGGGGGCCTGGAATCTGGAAGCCTAGGCGAGTCGTTAGCAGAGGACGTCTCAAGTCAACCAAGAAACGACGTACGTCCGCCATGGATGAATACCAAGACTGGCTTTTTCGCATCCGCGTGACCGGGACTTGCCGTCCAGACGTTTAGCTTTAGGCAATCCTCAGATACCGAGTTGTTGTTCTGGGCAGCAAAGTTCTTCCACACACGCAAGCCTGAGGGCTGGGTGAAGTTGGGGAACAACGACACTGGGGGCTTGACGGCGGGGCAGTCACTAGGGCAGGGTTAGAGCTGGGCTACAGGTGTAGTGTGGTGTTAGGGCAAACGTACGCCGACTACGGGGGTTAGCCTGTGCTTGTGCAGTGCAGTCTTGCCACGACTTACCCACTCGGATGCCTCGACGACGGTGCCTGGGGGCGCCAGGTACTTGCTGGGCGGCGCAAATCGCAGCTCGCCCACGGGCGCGGCGGCATAGCGGATTCCCAGGAACTCGGTCACGTGCGTCTTGTTGGAGGACGGGTGGCCGACCAGGGTGCCACTGCGAGTCTCAACGCCCAAACGGGTTGCAGGCGCGGTGACGGCGGAGCCCACGAGCGAGGCTACGGCTGCGGCCGTAAGCAGGAGGTGGTGCATCCTGTCAATTCGAAACTCGGGCAGCCCCAGTCGAGATTGGATAGCTGGGTCGGATGCCAGAGAGGGACGCTCACGGGCTTATAACGGCGCAACGAGGTCATTTGTGGCTCGTCGCTCTGTCGCCACGGGAGGGCCATGGGCTAGTGCATCGCCCCCCATGCTGTTGTGCCCGTTGCTCGCCGCCGGCCAGAGAGCGCTCGAAGCAGCCAAAGGCCCGGCCGGGCGAGCTGGGCAAGATGAACCGTTGGCGTTGGGTGCGCAGCGGTGCACCGGCGCAAGCACGCTGAGATGTCGTATGTCGTTTGAAGGCATGACGGGGGCGGGTGAAGCTTTCATCTCGGCTGCCTCTGCAGTGATGACGGCGCTGGCATGCGCTAGGCCCAAAGCGTTTCTTTTTTCCATCCCACGCGCGCCCCCCCCCCCGTGACTTTCTTCCGTGCCGCCTTGGTTGACACCCACGACACGACCACCGCACACTCGCCCCCAATGCACATCGATCCGCATCCTCTGGCGGAGTTTTTTTCTTCTTCCGCTTGGCATACGACTGCATGCACTGCATGCACCCAGGGACGCCCCAGTTATGTTCCGAATGTCACGGGCGCGGGCCGTGAGCCCTGAGATTCCAGTGTCCACCATATCATTTCGCGTGGCCGCTGATCCATATCCATACCGGGCTCGACGTCAGCCAGCCATGCCTCTTCAGTGCCCAACGCCGACGCCACCAGCACGTTTTCCGGTACTCCATGACATCCGGCTGGCCCTACACTAGCCAAAGGAAAAAAATCAAGCGCGCGCGGG